AACTTTCATTCCCTCTAATGATTCCATATCTAGTGATATAGCAAATACTAAAAGCATCTATAGAAATTCATTGCAAATGATTTTACTATAGGAATGCATTAGAAATGATTTGAATACTAGCTCTTTATCAGTTGTGAATATTATGGCTAGGATTTATCAAACAAATCCATCCAAACTTTCATTCCCTCTAATGATTCCATATCTAGTGATATAGCAAATACTAAAAGCATCTATAGAAATTCATTGCAAATGATTTTAATATAGTCCCATTAGAAATGATTTGAATACTATAATGATTATGGAACCTGGAATATTATGGCTATATATTTATGAAACAAAATCCATCCAAACTTTCATTCCTCTAATGATTCCATATCTAAAGATATAGCAAATATATAAATAGAAATTCATTTATATATATTTTACTATATATTCATTAGAAATATTTTTACTATTTTAAAATGGAATATTATTGAAATTTGGTGAAACAAAAGCCAATTTTGAAATGATTGATTCCATATCTAGTGATATAATAAATACTAAAATTTATCAAATTCATTGCAAAAATTTTACTATAAAAATGAATTATAAATGATTTGAATTATTTTCCTGGAAATTAGGATAGTCCAAATTATGAAACAAATCCATCAAACTTTCATTCCTCTAATGATTCCATATCTATATATATATAAAATACTAAAAGCATCTTTAGAAATTCATTGCAAATGATTTTTACTATATTTATGCATTAGAAATGATTTGAATACTAGCTTTATTTATGGAAACTGAATATTTTAATAAATTTTATGGAAACAAATCCATCCAAACTTTCATTCCCTGAAATGATTCCATATCTAGTGATATAGAAAAATTATACTAAAATCTATAGAAATTCATTGCAAATGATTTTACATAAGAATGCATTAGAAATGATTTGAAAAATAACTCTTTATGGAACCTGGAATATTATGGTTAGGTTTATGAAACAAATCCATCAAACTTTCATTCCCTCTAATGATTCCATATCTAGTGATATAGCAAATACTAAAAATCTATAGAAATTCATGGCAAATGATTTTACTATAGGAATGCATTAGAAATGATTTGAATACTAGCTCTATGGAACCTGGAATATTATGGCTAGGATTTATGAAACAAATCCATCCAAACTTTCATTCCCTCTAATGATTCCATATCTAGTGATATAGCAAATACTAAAAGCATCTATAGAAATTCATTGCAAATGATTTTACTATAGGAATGCATTAGAAATGATTTGAATCGTAGCTCTTTATGAAACAAATCCTTCCAAACTTTCATTCCCTTTAATGATTCTATATCTAGTGATATAGCAAATACTAAAAAGATTTCTTTGGTACCACGATTCATGAATTTAAATGTAATACTAGATTGAAAATGTTTCATAATTTCACTGTTGAAATTGCTAAATATTGCCAAAAGTTCTATTTCCATAATTTGTTCTCTCGCAATCTTCGCATGTAAAATTCTCTTCCGTGTTCTTGCTTTGCTGGAAGCCATATTAAATTAAATTTTAAATGCATCAAGAATCGTCATCATTTTTTTAAAATATTTTCCTTTCTCCCAATTAGTGTTTCCTCATTTTCTGTCACTTACAGTAACCCCCCTTTGTATTCGTCGTTTAAATGCCTTAATGATAAAAAAAAACCGTATTCTTTCATAGATGTAAAAAAAAGAATGTTTATCACTTCTTTATTTGACTCCAACGCAACAACATAAACGTTCCTTTAATGTATATTTCCAGCTGATCAAGTGTTCATGGAGGACAAATCTCTGCTGGACGAATACGTCTTGAATGACAGCGGCTATATCTATCAAGGCAGCGGAACTTCTCAAATCTTGGCCAAACCATGGAACTACGGACAGGTAAAAGTTGTCATCAGTGATCTTATTTTTAATCTATCTTTATAGACTGAATCCATGGAAATTCCTTGGATCTTGGCAATTATAATATCACGATTACATATATTTTTTTTTTATTTCTATAATCTTTTCAGGAGAGGTAAGGCAACAAAGCCACTAACACGCATGGGGGTTACTGTGTATATGAAAGAATAAAAGAGCAACATTATTAAGGAGCAAAAACAATGAAATAACAGAAATTAAGAAGATAGAGGATAACTAATGCAGGTTAATAATATCAGGTGGAGGCTAATAGAGGTAAATAATATTACTTGGAGGTTAATGGAGTTAAATGATATCACGTGGAGGTTAATGGAGGTAAATGATATCACCTGGACGTTAATGAAAAGAAATAATATCACGTGGGGTTTAATGAAGGTAATAATATCACATGGACGTTAATGGAAAGAAATAATATCACGTGGAGCTTAATGGAAGTAAATAATATCACGTGGAGGTTAATGGAGCTAATGAATATCACGTGGAGCTTAATGGCGGCTAATAATATAATATCACGTCGGGGTGACCCAGATAATGTGTGAGCCGTGGGAGGAAAGTTTTATGTTCCCATTTTCATTTCCCCCATTATTGGCATTATTATATCCATTATATAATAACACCTTATTTCACGGACGGAATGGAATAGCTGAGTCAAACATGCTTTGTTCTCGGAGAGAGTTTTATACCATAAAGCCATACGTCAAATTATATACACACGCAGAGAAAATAAAGCATATATTTGCACAACAACCGCACTGAAAGGAGAACGAAAATATAGGGTTTTAGATATAATTTGGAGGTTCATTTGTGTTTCTGTAGAAGCCATATTTAGGATTCCAGATTCGAGCGGGCCGGATATATCTGCTCTTTCGCTAATGATGACATATTCCGCGAACGAGAAACGGCAAGTGTTAGTTTTTTCCACCGCTAGAAGCAGATATTTACTATATATGGTAAAAATATATTTCCACAGGAAAACAGCGCCGTGGGCTTGTAAGCTGCAACATTTGCTGGAAGAGGTAGATTTTGCTAAACAAATGACATCTTTGTTTTTCTCTTAGAAGCCGACTGGACGACTGTTATTTTTCGTCACTGTATGAAGTGACGTCACTAAAAAACATCACCTGACATACGTGACTTCATCTCCACCAAAAAGGAATAATCGTTTTTTATCCCTACATAATGATTGATATTGCATTTAAAATTTTCAAGATCCTTGAAGTTTTCCTCGGTGGTGGCTTTTGCAGGCATTCCAAACCTTGGGTTATCTTCTCCTAAATCCAGCTTCCCACTTTTGCACTGTTGATAAAGCTGGGGCGTCATCCCTTAATCTAACAACCATGTCAGCAAGAAAATCTTTGGGAGATGAACCCTTTTTTCTAAAGGTGTTTGATAACACCACGATGCCAGAATTTGTCCATTTTCAAGAGAAGTCTCTACTAGTTAATCTCTTTGGACAGTTAGATTTACCTGGAATGAAACAAAGAATTGAAGAGTTGAAATGAACGCATTTACAGCTCTAGCACCAGTCCTTTACAGTCGGCATTTTAAATGTTCAGCCCTTTCTCGTAAATATCTCAGTCTCTTTATATGTCTATCCATCAAACTATAAAACAAATGGGCTACTTAGCCTAAGAATTTTTCGTCCCGCCCTAGCATATATATATATATATATATATATATTATTGTGAGATCGTAACATACCTACAACATGGACTCTTCCAGGACTATATAAAAGTATGCGACATAACAAGAGGAAGAAGAAGAGGAGAGAATTCTAATACCGTAGTATCAGCCGTACGACTACCAATATTGGACACTAGCACATAGTAAGCTCCGCTTACACTTACACTATCTTTGTAACCTTTTTGTTTAATATATCTTTCTTACCTCTAATCCGAGTTCCGTGTTTTCCTTCCGCGGTCCCAACTTTTGGTCCACATCAAATACATATATATATATATATATATATATATATTGTGTGTGTGTGTGTGTGTGTGTGTGTGTGTGTGTGTGTGTGTGTGTGTGTGAAAAGTGTATATAAATATAAATGAATATATATATGTATAATTATTTATATATTATATGCGTGGTACTTAATAGAAAGCGCTCAATATCAGAGATAGAGCTAACATCTATCCAACCATATATATATATATATATATATATATATATATGTGTGTGTGTGTGTGTGTGTGTGTGTGTGTGTGTGTGTCCTTTCTTTTTTATGCGCCGTGTCCTTTCAGGGCGTAGTCAATCATGGCTCTCCACTTGCCCCTATCCCTTGTGGCTAACAAGAGCTTTTGTGTTTCTGCCAACTCTCCCAGTACACGTTCTGCCATCCACCTGCCCAAACCCGAAGGTATGTCATGGGTTGCTTTCCCTTGTCTCTTTTCCCTTCTATTCGATCAGGAAGTATCAGATTTCCAGGCCCTCCTTTCTCATTTCGTGTCCCAGAAATGTCATCTGCCTCATGTTAAGCCTAAGCCTCCTCCTTGTTTGCATCCCCTCTAAGACCTCATCGTTTCTCACACGCTCGGTCCATGATATCCTTAGCATCCTTCTGTAGAACCACATCTCCACCGCCTTGAGTCTCTTCTTCATCTTTGGGGATACCGTTCAATATTCGCTGCTGTATAGGAGAACAGATGTCACGTAGCAGGTCAGTACTCCTTTCTTTGTTACCAAAGAAATCCTCCTGACTCGCAGTACTCTACCCAGCTTTTGGAATTTGTCCTTGGTCATCCCATTCCGTCTTCGGATCTCAAAAAAAACCCTCCCGTCCCCCGCCAGAACATTTTCCAGGTATTCAACTTCCACACATGTTTGATTTTAGTGTCCTCGACCTGCAAATCGCATTTTGGGCCCATATATGACATAGTGGAAAAAAGCTTTCGTCTGATGCGCTTCGTTCTTTCTATTTTATCGGAATAAGTTTGCTTTGTGCGCATGTGCAGTCGCATCAACATAAACACTGGGAATTTAAAATTTTAAAATATTTTAACTATTAATATATCTACGTGATACTGAATTATCTGATCTTGTCGATAAACAAAGAAAGTCGAACATACAATAGAATTTACATACGAAATGGAAGAAAGAAAATACTTGCATTTCCTAGATATCATGCTATATCACAGCAGTTTAAATCCTAGTGTCCACCGAAAATTCAACTAATAAAAATGAAACAAATTTCTATAACAACGAATACAGTCAGATGTCAGTTGATTCAGAAAGAAACAATGCAGTTCTTAATAAGAACAGTTGGAATAAATGCACAAGGGGGTTCTACCATAACTCCTTTGAACTTTTCATCCCACCCTCCTTAAATGAAAATATAACAGTCGCCATTATCTGGAGACATGGCGTAAACTGAAATACCGTGTCAACAGTATAATAATTTTCGACGGATTTGCACTAAAATTTACATGCACATGCTCCAAGTTAGCGGGGAAGAAAGGCCGACTTTGCATTTTTAAACTCCCATCGATAGTAAAGAAATAATCGATTTTTTTTCATGATTCTACGACAGTTTTCATGTAGTTTGCGGCCATTTTGTACTGGCCAGAAACCAGAAGCCTAAAGCTGGCTGCCCCGAATAGGCAGGAAGATTCTATTGGCCAAGTGAGAGCCAACAGTTGACTGACACGAATGTTAAATAGCATGCTAGCATGCAAAAAAATCGATAGCTGCATTCATCACAAGTGGGAAAAATTTAAATCTGCATGACACTTTACTCCAATTGATTCATTCGCTTGCTTAATCTCAACGTTGATTCTGATTCCGCAGAACTGGGTTGGGTGTGAAAAAGTATTTGTTGTTAACATTCTTTTTTCATTCGGTTTTTCCAGTTACGAGTCCTTTTTTAAAGCTGATCGTTTTGTGTTCATTTTGTTTAGTTCTTTTTTCGTAACAGATTTAATGTTTAGTATAGTGCTTAGAAAACATTTCCAGTGTGAGATAGGCAAGAAGTAAGGCATGTAGCAACATCAGCACGGAAAAGGGGCACTCTTTTAAAAGGCAAGGAAGGGCAAAAATATTTTAAGTCAAGTGATAGCGATTGCTGTATGAGTCGTACGATTTTTTGAATCAAGCACCAGGCAACGCCGGGCCATGCTGCTAGTATATATATATATATATATATATATATATATATATATATATATATATATTTATAATGAGAGAGAAGGCGAAGAAAAGAAATGAAAAGATTACTAATAGAGTAGGGTTAGCATCAACACTTACCGTGTTAATAATGATCTGGTTTTTACACGTTTATTATAGAATCTGAAAAGAAAATCATAACGTTGAAAAAGGAAAAATATTGAACAAGGGAAAGAAATGAAAAGATTACTACTATAATGGGGTTTAACATCCACACTCAAATTCTACACAAAGATTACAACATAAAATTTAAAAAGCAACAAAATTTAAAATATCTTTCTCCGTAGATTGTATATTAAAGTGTGTATAAAAAAATAGAAGATGAATGCCTGATTTCACAGTTCTAGCATCACTCCTTCATAATCAGCCTTTGAACTTTTTAGCCCATCCTCGTAAAATGAAAATATAACAGTCGACAGTATCTGGAGACATGTTATAAACTGAAATGACCTGTCGTCAATATACATGGTCACATGGTATCAAGGTTATCTATCCTCCTTATCCTCATAATCTTCAATTCCTAACACCTCCTCTCTCATTTTTATCACACCTCATTCATCATAACCATTTGAATAATAGCCTTCATCCTGGAGTGGCTCTCTTGGCTTGTACTTGATGAACCTTGGTCTTTATATGTTTATTCTTTCAGTTTGACGAAGGGATCCTGGACATCAGTATGTTTATCCTGCGTCAGGGATTTTCGGAAGTCGGCCACCAGATGAGTGACCCAGTCCGGGTGTCACGTGCCATTTCCCAAATGGTAAGTATTGATCGTGTGAACTAAATCTTCTAAATAGGTCTTTACAGAAAACACTCTTACTTATTGCCTATCCATCCAAGGGATTGTCAGTGGTCAGTAAGAGAAAGCAAGCATTACTGATAGAATAGGGCTATTATATGCATAATGGAAATGCATTGCTAATGATTTTACTATAGGAATGCATTGAAAATGAGGAAGAAAGGGATTGTCAGTGGTCAGGAATGAATGCAAGCATTACTGATAGAATAAAGCAATTATATGTATGATTTAAATACATTTTTAATGATTTTTCCATAGAAAATCCTTAAAAATCAGGAAGAAAGGGATTGGCAGATATTCAGGAACCATTCCAAATTAAAAAGTACTTTTATAAGTTATTATGTATAACATTAACTCCTTTCAAAATTTCAGATAAAAATAACGTTTTTTTTTGTTTTTTTTTTGTCGTCGCCATCTTCCAGACATCCACGAAAACATCTTTGTCAGCGTATCATCTGTCAGATGAAGGCGGCTTTTGGGACATAAAATCATATTGTCACCGCGTTATCTGTCAGATGGAAACGCGTGACTACAGCGACTTCGTGCCGCGACCAACCGTCTGTTCTGTGGGCCTGAGGAAAGCACCTCTTAGTTGAAGGAACTAAACAGGCTAAAAAGAGCCTTGCACATTGTGATAACTGTATACTAAAAACGAAAGAATATAGATTTCCCGTGGACATATACTTGGTCAATTGCCAGTTTCATAAAAGATTCAGGCAATCATCAGGAAGTCTGTCAAAGACACGCATGTATATATATATATATATATATATATATATATATAATAAAAAAATTGAAATATATATATATATATATATATATATATATATATATATATATTAAATATATGCAAATATTGAATATATAAATATATTAAATAATATATATATATATAAATATATATTTATATATATATATATATCATATATATATATGTAAATATTATATATTGTATATAATATTTAAATAGGTGAAATATATATATATATATAAATATTAAATATTTTTAGAAATATATATATATATATATATATATTGTTAAAAGTTAAAATATTAAATATATATTTTCTATAATATATATCATTATTTATATTTATATGAAATATGTCTTATAAAATATATTTATATATGTTTCTAAATATTAAATTTTTTGGAAAAACAATGTCCATATATATATATATATTTTAATATAATGAAATTATAAAAAAATAAACAAAAAATAATTAAAAGATATTTTTAAATTTAAATTAATTGAAAAATTTTAACATTTTAAATTCAGTCTATATGCAATTTGATTTATTTTTATTTTTATTTTAATTTTTAAAATTATTATATTTATATTTTTTAATATGTTTATATATTTACATATATTTATTTATATATTTAAACTAATTCCAATATGATATTTATAATGTATATAAATTTTATCAATTTCCATTTAATATATATATATATTTATATATATATAATAAACAAAATATATAAATTTAATAAATATTATTTATATATATAATATAAACATATATATCAAAAAAAAAACTATTTCTATTTATACAAAAGAAAAATAGCAATTTTAATATGATTAATGGAAAAATAGATTTTTTTAACAAGAAAATGGGACATTATTTACTATCGACTCCTTTTATAATAATTTGTATTGTATGACAATGAAGTGTCATCCAGGAAATATATATTGAATATAATGATCTTATAAACGTAAAAACTGGTTGGACAATGTCAAACAATGGACAAGTATAACAAAACCAGACTTGTTGATGGCTGCTCTTGATAGACCGTTGTGAAAGAGATTCAATTTGACTTATGCGTTCTCATCCCACTACTACGATTACAAAAATTAGGGGTTAATGATGATGACGATATATATATATTAATATATTATCAAGTGATGGTGTTGATCACTTGATAAGACACCAGAAGTGTTGAAACAAAATGGCTATTTTTGTAGTGATTTTTTAACATATTTATGTTACAATTTTCAAATAAATGATTATATTTGCTCCAGTAGGTATTAAGCAAACTTTTTAAGAATAGTTGGTTATTGGAATTTATTCTTATACACGCAATCCTATTTATATATATATATATATATATATATATATATATATATATATATATATATATATATATATGTTTAAATTCTATATATACCACTCTGAAGTTGGCTCATGTGAGAAAGCTTAGATCAAGGAACATCATAATGAAAAACTATCCTATATATACATACATACATATATATATATATATATATATATATATATATATATATATATATTATTATATAAATATAAAAGTGTACTATAGTCTTTTCAACTAGATGCAATTGTCAGGCCACTAGCATCTAGCGTGAAACAGACTAAACCGTAATTGTTGATTCTATAATATCTTTTATATTTACACACCTCTTCTATCTCTGATATTGAGCAAATTTATCCCATAAGTATAGCACATCTTTCTACACTATATTTCTTTATATATATATATATATATATATATATATGTGTGTGTGTATATGTGTGTGTGTATACAGGATGTCCATAAAGTTCGTGTGCACTTAAAAAATTTATAACTTTATTTGTATTTGCGATAGAAATAATCTTTAAAAAATGTTATAAAGTTTAATGTACCTGGTTTTAAGTATAGCTAAAATAACTAATGTGATTTCAGGCATTACTGTAAATCAGTTGGCAAATGTTTTCCGTGAACTGCAAAATCGTATTACCCTTTGTATTGCTAATGATGGAGGACATGTGGAAACTTAAATAAAATTTCAATAAAACCTTAAAAAAAATATAGATTTACTTCTTTCTAATCCTTTTTTACAAATTATTTCTATCGCAAATACAAATAAAGTTATAATTTTTTTTAAAGTGCACACGAACTTTATGGACATATATATATATATATATATATATATATATATATATATATATATATATATATATATTCATAGAAATGGTGTGAACAAGGAAAAAGACAATAATTTTTTTTAAAATAATTCATATTTTCGATAAAAGATTTTAGACATTAAGGAAATTAAATGACAATTTACTGTTTTATCATTGACAGAGCATTTGTTTAAATTTTGTATCTGAACCCTCTAAATAAATTATATATTTATATATATATATATATTATCTGTTTTAAGCAATTATACGCTAAATTAAAATAATCATATATATTTTTTTTCATATAATATATAAAATATATATATATATATGATGGAATCTTTCTGAAGAACCAAGCCGATTTGTTTTCATCCGCTTGGACCGGAAGTGTTATAGTTTTCATCTGTTTGCGGTCAAGAGAGATTAAACTGTTAGATATGGTCAAGACTTTGTTTTCGCCGGTATAATTTACATATATGTTCCTTTTATTTTTAACTTTTTTCGTCAAAATATTATGAAAGCGCGTTTTATATTATCATATCTATATCGACGGAAAAGAAAATTATATAAAAAAAAAAAAAAAAAAATTTAAAACTGGGCACGTTTGAAATATGACATGCTGGAGACGGAATATTTAGATTAAAAAATTGTCCGTCGCCTTACTCTCTGTAAATATGACCTTAAATTTTATTAATGTTGTGGTACTTTTCAATATTTTGGCGCCTACATCACAGATAATATATGCATAAGCCGTTTTGGATGGAATTTTTTATATGAAAAAAAATTGTTATAAGTTTTACAGGTCGTAAATTTTGTGGGGTTTTTTGACTCACACCACAAAGATATACACGAAATTATGTGTCAAAATTGTCTCCAAAGAAACAAACTATTCTATATATATTGGAAAAATTCATAGAATTGCAGACTTTTTCACTAAATATCTTTCAGAAGAAAATCTTTTGTCTAAATTAAATTCAACCTTTAAATTTAAAAAAAAAGAAATACTTTTAAATTGAAAAAATGAAAGGGTTAATTTGATAAAATTTGCAAACATCATTACAAATTTTTTGAAATTGTAAATTTTTTTAAGATATAAAATTTAAATCTGTTGTTTTTCAAAATGTAGAAATTTTGTTTTGAACCTTATCGTTAATTTTAGCCATTTCTTATAATTTATGTTTTCCAATTCCCATTTCAAATTTTATTTATAATGCCACGAAATTTAAAAATCTTCATCAATATAAAAATATATATATATATATATATATATATATATATATATATATATATAAATTAGTGGTAAATATACACATACATATGTTTAAAATATATAAATATACAGGTGCATACACATTTTTTCCATTAAAAATACAGTGGTCACTTTCAGTACATGCCCTTCAGTTTTAAAATCCCCCATATCTCTCTCCCCAATCCTTTTTTCTTTTCCTCTCCCCCAACCTTATTTATATATCTTTAACATTAGATCGTCTATGGTGTGTATATCACAGTCCAAAATGTATCTTTAATGTATTATACATCTGAGGAACATTCATTAAACCTCTCACTCTCAACCTCTTCCAAAGAACTCTCTAAAATGTCTCTCTGTTATGGTTTAATCTCCTTCTCTCGTCTGTATTCCTCTTATTTATAAAACTTCGTCTTGTTTTTTCATTTTTTACTTGCTCTCTCTAAAATTCTATTTTTTATTTCCTGAGTTCTCTTTTCTCATTTTTTTGGCCATTTTTAGGTCTGATGAATTGGATCATATTTACGATTCCAATGGAATAAATTATATTCCATGGAATTTTAGTGTCAATGAATTATTTTTATATATATATATATATATATATATATATATATATATATATAGGTTTGACAAATGTTCGTTTAATTAAAAAAAATTCAATTTAAAAAAAATGCGAAAATTTAAAAAGTAATTCAACAGAAAAAACCTTAAAAATTCCAAAATTATCATTAAAAGGAATAGAAAAACTAAATTACAAATTAAAAACCAAACTGAAATTATACGACAAATAAAAATTACAAGATAAAGCATGATCAAACAATTATTTTGTGTTTAAATTGGTCAAGTTGTTGTAAAACCATCTTTTTTTTTATAACAGGAATAAAATTCTTGATTTATTATTTATAAAATTCCTTGACCTTAAAGCCTTTTAATTTGAAAATAAATTTTGAAATTTATATTAATCGAGATGCCAAGTAAGTAGACTTTTGATAAAAAGGCCGTTAACTAATTAAGGAATTCCGCGATTGTTTACGTGATGTTTGTCAACAATGATTGCCGAAACAAGGAGCGAATAAGGTCGAAATAAACTTTATCCATATCTTAAACGGTCAAATTTTATTTTTGTTTTTTTATTCTTATTTTCAAAATAATCACGTTTTTTTTACACCAGAATTGAATTTTTCAGTACATTATGTTCAAAATCAAATTAATTTTGCAAACTTTAATAAACTAATAACAGACTAGAAAAGTTCGAATGAACAAGCAAAATTATAATGTGAAAATAATATGATCTATTTTTAAGGCGGTTTGATTAAATAGTAATATTTAATTATTCTTTTATTTTCAGTTTCAATGAAATTGGTAGTTGAATGTCGTCCAATTACGAACTTTCGTTTGGGCACATGATTTGAAGACGAGAAAATTACAAATGATGTTTATGTTG